ACATTGTGTTTGTTTCATTCCAAATCCATTGTGGTGGTGTATAGAGCCAAAGATGTTAAAATTGTGTCGATGTCCCAATATTTCTGGACCTGACTGTACATCAAAATTATATCCCAAACCAATGTAAGTAAATTCTGGTCTTATGATTATGTGCCATCAAGTTGTTGTTGACTCTTAGCAACCACATAGATATGGTAGGTTCACATATTGAATTAGGCCATAAACAATGGTTTATGAATCACAATGGCTGAATTCACATTACGTTTACACCATATTATGTTTTAGCACCATCCTGAGTTCATTATACACCGTGCTAAGTCTTAATGAGGGTTGCTCATTTTTGGCTTTGTGGATATGTGAATGGGAACAAAGAAGTCATAGCTTGTTTTATGACAGTGATTTCATGTCTGAAACCATGGTTTATTGTTCAGTTATTAACTGTATTTGAGATATGGAATGAAATGGAAATGGGCTTCCTGGCTTATGGTTGGGTTTAGTTTTCCACCAAATCAATTCACAGAAGTACAAGTCAAGAAACAGCTGAAGAAAGAAGGAAGATAAACTAGGAACTGGCTGAACAAGCTTATTATTTTGCTTATCTGAAGGACTGACCCTGGTTCAACAAAGCACAGTTCAGCACAATGTGTGAATGCAATGAATTTTCTGCATCATATGAGGCAGGTATTATTTTAGGTAACTTTCACATCTCAGCTAGATGCTTTGGAGACAGGTGTGCATTTCATTCAAGAAATGAAAATCTACCACCAGCTGTGAATTCAAATTCCCTAATTAATAACAATATTCTATTTACAATGTAATTGCAGTTTGGCATAAGACTTCTGAAAATGCAGGACATATTTATTTTGAAATCTGGATAGACTTTATTTGGATGAGTGTTCTCCAATATTTTAACAATTTATTCCAAAGTTTCATTGGGAGCAGTAAGACAATATAAGGGGAACCTGTAGGCCAAAACAAAGCACAATTACCATCAGACAACTGGAAATGATACCAAAACATTTCCTGATATTAAGGTTTTAGGAAATCACTCATGCAACAAAACATTATAACATCGGAAACATTAAAGGAGATATTTGAAAAATGGGCCCAGAAATTAGTATCTACAATATCAACATGGTCAGTAATGATGTTTGCTTCTATAGATAGACTATGTCTAAAAGATGTTAATGAAGGAATGACAGATGTGGAACAAATTTTATCTGACAAGACAAAGTACCAAAAGTGGAACTACAAATGACACGCCAAGAGAAAACAACACTTTACTGGATATACAAAAGAAACTGGCTGAAGTTTTAAAAATTAAAAG